CTATGTTGTTGCAAATATTTTTTATTGTTGTTTTTATTTGTATACATTTATTTTGAAAAAAATAAACAGGTAGATTGGTTTACTTATAAAGTTATTTTTGCTTCAGTAACTTTCACAATTTCTGTTTAGTTGAGATAGTGCTTCATTTGAGACCATATATTGTATCTTAATGTGACAAGTTACCCATTATTTAATACATTCAAACATTTTAATTTGTGTAGCAGGTATTTTGTATGAGAGAATTTTTAAGTTGATATTTAAAAAATTTCTATTCGGTTATTGCAATATACTTTAATAATGTCTCTTCACTCATCATTTATGATGTACATTTAATCATATTGGGTCCTTATAACACTCCACACTATAGGGATAATGATTCCCATTTCTTTCAGCAAAGCCTTTATCTTTTAGTGATATGTTGGAGCAATTTAATATCTTTAGCAGCCAAACTGGAAGATAAATTCACAACTAAATATTATATCAAAAATTAAGTAATTAATTTTTCTCAGTCGACATGGGCTTTGAAAACTGTTTCCTCTGTTGCATTATTTATAAAATGGGTCAACATGTAGAGCTGCATAAATCTGAAAGTGAAACAAATTGATTTATTTTTAAAAACGTTTTGCTCATCAAAGATAGTAGTTATGTAGCCCTTCTTCAAATGCTATTATGTTTAAAATATTGCTGTTTAGAAAATAAAGCCCCTTCCAAAAATAGTGAAGAAATTAAGAGTTAAAAAGTTTTGTTAGCGAAATTTACAGCACTTTAGCAGGTGCTTTCAAACACAAACACACATACAAACACACGCACACACACGCGCGCACACACACACTCACCAACACTAATTTTGTCTCATTCTCTACTAAAGATTTTCTGTGATTTAAGCATTTTATCCAATGAGTAGCATTAAGTTTGTTTGTCTTATATACATAATACTCAAGTTATCAATCAGATTATCTTAATAATATTCTACAGAATTTTATGTGGAGTGCTGTACAAAGAATTCTAATACATCTTGCATATATTACTCTGGTGGGATTCTAACTGTAACTCATTCTGAAATATTCTATGGGCATTAACGTGTTTACTGAAGAAATGCAATAGTGATTGCAGGCTTGGGAATTTTTTCTCTCTCTCTGCTACCTTGTTTTTTTCTTCATTTTATTTGACTTTTCTATTTTGCCTTCTTCATGTCACCTACTCCTTTCCCAACAAAGTTACCCTTAAATTTCACCGCCTGTCTGCTGCAGTAGATGCTCTGGTCTTACCTGGTTTCAGCGAGCCTAGTACTCATGCTGGCCCGATGAAGTATGGGTCTCCCTGATCCACCCGTTCATCAAGGGAAGTTCTAGGAAAACGTAGATACTAAGTGTCTAAGATCTCAGACTCAGGGGATCCAAATATTAGACACGGGCGTAACATTGGAGTTTATCCAGCTCAACCACTGCCTTTTTTTTTTCTTTTTCTTTCTTTTTTTTTTTTTGAGATGGAATCTCGCGCTGTCGCCCAGGCTGGAGTGAGTGGCGCGATCTTGGGTCACTGCAAGCTCCGCCCCCCGGGTTCCCGCCATTCTCCCGCCTCAGCCTCCCGAGGAGCTGGAACCACAGGCGCTGCTACCTCGCCCGGCTAGTTTTTTGTATTTTTAGTAGAGACGGGTTTTCACCGTGTTAGCCAGGATAGTCTCGATCTCCTGACCTCGTGACCCGCCCGCCTCGGCCTCCCAAAGTGCTGGGATTCCAGGCGTCAGTCACCGCGCCCGGCCGCCATTTTAAGTAGAAGGAACCTGCATGACGGTGAGGTACCCCCATGTGATCAGGGCTGGTACTCGGGGGTGGGCACCAGCACTGCTCTGTCAGCTGTTAAAATAGCAAAGAACACTCTTGTACCAGTGAACACATATCCCCGAAGCCCTGCACACTCCCGAGGCACCTCCTACAGGTCGTTGGAGCTTCCAGCAGCGGAGAAACCAGGGGGCTAATGGCTGCAGGGTGGGACCCAGGACTGTGTCCTGGAGCTGTGGCTGGTGTCCCTGTTTGTGTTGACTGCCTGCAAACACTCTTGTCACATAGGTTGACGGTCACCTCTGGTCAAGGTTACTGAGATGTTTTCCCAGAAGAATCCAGTGAAGCTGCTGCTTCTATACACTTGTATTCTGTGTTTGTTCTATGCCATGCACATAAATAAAACTATTTCAAAGCTTTTTCAAGAATAGACAATGCTTCAGCTCATAGGTTGCCATGACAAAAATTCGTAATCATTGGATGTCAGTTCTTTTTTTTTTTTTTTTTATTTTCCCCTCTAAAACTTTGAAAAGGAAGATTGTTGGCCAACAAGGTGAATTATTAAGAATGTATGCAATTTCAGCAGTTGGATTTCAGTTAACACATTTCATTAATCTTTCAACCATATCATTTTGGTAACTTGGACTTTGATAACTTTTAATTCCACACATCTATGATATTTTATGTTTTTATGTAATAAAGGCATTAGAACTCTTTTGCATCTGTTTTGCATCTGTTTCTACATTGAGATGAATTAACTTTTGTATATAATGAATTCAGAGAAAATAAAATCTAAATATTAAATAAAATTATATGATATATTTATACATGAAAAACAATTGTTAATCTGGAAATATGTATTTATGTGTGTGATATGTTTATATAGAGTTATTTAATCATAAATGTATCTGTCTCTAGTAATCTTGTTTACCTCATCCATTTATGAAGGGGATGTTTATATTTGGGTTTAAAGAAAAATAACATAGAGTATGTCTCACTTTTAGTTGTAACCTGATTCACCATTATCCCAACCCAAGTGGCTCAGAGCTGAATTCTGCACAGTGTCTGAAACTCAGTAGTGGCCACTATATTTTTCCTCGTGGCTGGAATATGTGCTTCCTCTTATTTTTATATGGTACTGATTTTTATCTCTATTTTCAAAAATATAGTTTTAATAGGGAAATGTATATTATGATCACATTCCTAGTAGCTGTTCCCAAGAGTGTCATAAAAACTGTGGCGAGCCGGGCAGTTGTGGAGCTGGTTCTCAGATGATCGGGGATGTGTGTGTGCTTGCACAGAGGTGCCCACGGAGAGTAGGGGGTGGGAGAGACATTCAGTCATGGCCACAGGAACTATTTTCACAGTTTTCAAATAGCAGTATATACACAGTTATTTTTATTTGTGTTCAGTTTTACACTTTTAAAGAAAACAATATCACGATAGCATAATTTTTATAATCCCCACACTTTATTAGTTTTAAAATAAATTTGGGGTCTCAAAAATGAGTGTCCTGAGATGTCCTACAAAATATGGGCAGCCCTTTCCACAGTGTCACGTGCTTTGGATGGGTATCACAGACTGACCAACTGTTAAAACACGAGAAAACCTATCCCTCCTCTAGTCTTGATTTCATTGATATTTGAAGGTAGCAATTTTCCTCCAACTGTACCTCTCAAAGACGTCCACTCTAAAGCCATTAGCTTTAGTTGACATAAACAGCATGAGAATGACTAGTGTGTAGACCAGCCTGGCATCCTGTAAGAAGGATGGAAAATGCAATACTCCAAACTCTGGAAACAAAAACAGTGTGCTCTCAACTACCCCTTTGCTCCTGGCATTCTTCTGAGTAAACTGAAGGCAGCTAATTTAAAGGGACCCATATCACCCTCCTACTGTTGTCCACAAGGTGGGTTCTATTTCGACATTTTTGTGAGGCTTAGATCCTGCCACAAAAAAATGAACATCGCTGAAAGATGAAAGAAATTTTGGAACTTGCAACTTGGGAGGAGTTAATAAAAGGAGGTCAGTTCCTCCCACTTTGCTGTAATTTTGGTGGAGAGAGGGTGGGTAGGGTCGAAGATACGCACTTTGTGAGAGCCCAGGCCAGTCACACAAGCTCTGCTTATGTCCAGCTCCCCCGATCTTGGTAACAGGCTGACTTCTAAATAGCATCCACACTGCCGTGTCAGAATCAATGACTGTTAAATATACATTCTGCAAAGGAAGTATTTGAGGAAAGAAAGAAAAAGAAGAAAAGGAAGAAAGAAATGCGGGAAGGAAGAAATTTTTAAAAATGCTTTAAAACAAGTTATTTTTAAAAACATGCTTTAAAACAAGCTACTTTAAAATACTTCTCTCATATATATTGTTTATATGTATAATATGGCTATATATAGTATATAAACTATATATGACAATATAGTTTATATGTTATATATAAACTATATATGTATATATAAACTATATATATAGGTTAATATGTACATGGTGTTTTGTAATAGATAATATAAATGTAACAGGGAACTTTTTTATAGCAAACTTTCCAAGTTCTATTTATCTTCTAACCAATAATTTTTTAAATGTTAGTTTGTATATTAAATGCACTTTTATCTTTACTGGCCTTTCACGTCTCACTTTTCTAAGATACTCCATTTTAAGTTTCATGCAACTATTTTCTACTCAGAACCTTTTTATGAGGTGATGTGCCTCTGTTACTCAATAACTATCTGAAAATTCAAAACCCAAATCTCAAATTTATAGAAAATAAAATTAGGGCAACCATTTCTTTTAAGAGCACAGTATTCTCAAAGCCAGGTATCCATGAATTAATAATAAATGCTCACATGTTTTTAAGCCTCAAAATGTTGCTTACATATTGTCATCTTCCAGGTTTCAGAGAAAATCTTTGAAAGTCGTGTTAGGCTGCCTATCAATGTCAGGTACATGGCAACTACACTTTCCACGTTTTAGAAAAGCCACCATTTCCAGCTTTCCCACAATGGCCATTCAATTAATAATACAATTTAAATTTTAGACTTTAGTCAGCCTTTTCATAGAACTCATTAACATACCAAAAGATTCTTTTTCAGATTGAGTGTCTCAATTTTGGGTTCAGAAAATATTTGTTGCTGATCAAGAAGTGACACTTTGTGGACACACTCGTGTATGAAAACCATCCTGAAATGCGATGCTTTCCTTCTGCTTCTGTCCCTGCAGCTGAGGGAGCCTGCGGAGGAACCTTACGTGGGACCAGCAGCTCCATCTCCAGCCCGCACTTCCCTTCAGAGTACGAGAACAACGCAGACTGCACCTGGACCATTCTGGCTGAGCCCGGGGACACCATTGCTCTGGTCTTCACTGACTTTCAGCTGGAAGAAGGATACGATTTCTTAGAGATCAGTGGCACGGAAGCTCCATCCATATGGTAAGTCCCGGGAAGAGATGCCACAAAGGATACAGCTGTGTTTTCCCGGTTTTTCCCCCAATGGGCTTCAAGAATTGCTTGTCTCTGGACGTTCCTGGGCAAGCATGAGTGTTCCTTTTTTTACTTTGCTCTTTCAGCTCTGAAAAAGTTGCCTTTACTGTGACTCATTTCAAAGTTTCTAAGATGTCTGTGTGCTGGCGTTTGGAGCTTGGGAAGTTGTCTGTGTGCTTGAGCTTAGAGTGCTCTCATTTTTGGACTCTTTTAAAGCAACGAAGTAAGGCGAGTTAGTTTTGGCTTTGGTCTGGAGCTGTTTCACTGTGAACAGAGATTTTTAGATTGTGTATTCTTTTTTATCTCACGTTACCGAGCATTGACAGACTGCTGCAGATACATGATTGTGCATTTCTTTTTCTTCGTGAAGACTGTACCACATCCTGCAGCCACCTATGGGAAGTGCCTGTGGCTACAAGATCCTCAAAGGCAAAACAACTTAACACACATCCTGTTCCAATATCTGTGCAGAATTAACCACAGGATGGTCAGTTCTCTGGTGTGTGCTCTGGTAGAGACAAAGGAGAACAAGATCTAAGGAAGTACTGCCTATTTAGGGGTGACGGTCGTGGTTGCCAGAACAGTCTTGTTTGTGTCCATAAGTGCAATTGGAGAGACTTAAAAGCACAGATGTTCAAAGGCTTAATTTCTGTCTCGAATTAAGTCGTTCGTTGCGTGTTAAATTGTGTTGTTATTTTTGTTATTTAAATTCTGAACACATTAAAACTGCTTCAGTTATCTGTTTTAGATCTTGAAATATGACAGAACAGGAACAGGTATATTGAGGCTCAGGTAGACACTGAGGAAATGTTGGCCATTTATGAGTAGGAAGAGGGGAATATGGAACGAGGGATTGTGAACAGGTCCGCAGGTTGCAGTTTGCATTTCAGTACGAAGGCTAAAGGACAAACGTGTCAAGCATGAAACGTATTGTAAATAGGACCACCTGCTTTAAACCAATTATTGGAACTGAATTGAATTGCACTTTGTTTTCCAAAGCACAAGGCTCAATACAGAGGATTCCTATTCATGGAGAGGTCCTTTCCTGGTTGATTTTTTTGTGTTTGTGTTATATGTTATTTCAAATAGGAGGGAGGAAGAAACTAAGCAAATTCTACCTAGATTGTCTTTGTTTTCAGTTTTATTCATGCTGAACAAACTTTTAGATTAGCCAGGACCCATCTGCTTAATGTATGTTGTACAATTTTAACTTTAAACACTCAGGAATTTGTTTAAATTATTACCTATCTCACTATGTCTAACATTAGAGTTCATGGAAACAAAAGCTGAGCTGAGAGCTGGGTAACCTAAGTTCTACCACAGGTTTTGCCAAAAGCAATCCTTACGACTTTAGACAAGTCTATTTGTGAAAAGAGAGGGTGTGCTAAAAAAGAAATCTTAAAAATGACTTTATTAAACATCTCTTTAGTGCCTATTCTCTGCTAATCATTTAAAGATATTCAAGTGATCTAACCTCTTTCTAGCTTTAAAATTACATTATTGTGGTTTTCAGAAAATCACTGAAGTATAAAATACACAGGGACTGATTCTCAGAAAATCACTGAGGTATAAAATGCACAGGAACTGATTCTCAGTTTATATGCTTACTGTTGAAGGTCTTATTTTTAGGAGAGTCTAGAGGTATTGGGCATTGACTGCACGCCTTGCTGATAAGATGTCAGGTAGGGAGAGAGGTAGAAGCAAGTGAGGCTGATTTGTTAGTGATTCCAGAACCTATGATCAGTGGCAGCTTTTGCCAAACAAACTTAGTTTATGTCAGAAAGTACAGATAATGTACAGTTTATGTCAGATGAGTGTGATGAGAAGCGTGTTCTGTCTGAAAAGTTGACGGGACCACTGTAGCACTTTATGGCAACAACTGATCATCCTTGTCATAGAGAGAATATCAGCACAGCTAGCCAGAGAGATGATCACTATCTTCTTGGTGCCTGGATCCAGGCTGGAAGACATCTTCTACATCACTGGAATCTCTCTGGGTGTTTGCTAGGGAAGTTGGTGGGAAATTTCTCAGTGGGAACTATGACCCTGTGTGCCTTTGTGTCTGATAAACTGTTGCCTCTTAGCTTAGCTGCTGTCTTCAAATAGCCATGATTAGCCAGGGATAGAGTTGTATTTATACTTGTATTTTTAGGATGACTTATATTGTCCTGTTTGCTTGGTGCAAAAGCCCTGTGGAGTCATTATTCTTACTATTATCTACTATTATCCGTTTATCTATTATTGTAGATTTAAAGATAAAACTGAGATGTGCAGAGGACAGGAGATGGCAAAGCTGGTGGAACCCTTGGCAGAGCTCAGGTTCAAGGTCTCTGACTCCAGGACATTTTCTTTTCTCTGTGTATAGCCCCCCAGTCAGTGTAGGCCAGGTCTGAGCTTCAGTGCCCTGTCGGAGAAGTACAGTTTCTCTGTTTCAGGCCTGCAGGCTGGATCATAAAGCCTTGAACAGGTAACTGTCGTGGTGGAGATGGAAAAGCAATTTAGCATATGTGCTGGGTCAACAGAGTGTTTTGTGTGTGTGTGTGACATTTAATGTTTATCATAATAGTCAAAAGAAGTATCTTGACACAGCCATAAGGACTGCGTTTAAGTGGAACTCTCAGCTTTCAATGAATCTTCAGTGGAGGCTGAAAAGCAAAACATGGTTCTCCTAAATAACTATAGAAACCTACAGGAGCACATTTAAAACAGAAAACAGAGTAATTTGAAGTACCTTTTTAGGGCCTATACAAATGCATAATATGATTTATCTTAAAAAAACTATTACTTTAGAGTAATTTTACATTGACAGTCTCTGAAATATTTAATGACTCAAATGGGTATATTTAAAAGGTTGCCCCATTCCCGAATTGCACGGACAGGGACGAGGAGCATTGTGGGTGGTGCTACCTCTTCCCAAGCACAGATCATTCCACAGAGCCAGGAGGGTGGTGTGAGTGACTGTGAGTGGAGTGAGGGCAGATACACGTATGATTTTCCAATAATCTATTTTTTAAAAAGGACATAAGCAAGGGCACTCGAAGAAGAAGCTACTTGGAAAATTGTTAAGAACAATAATAGGATTAGCCTTATTTTCATTTAATTTGGAGTGAAATTACCTGCTCGGCTATGTTTTAAGTCAGGGTTGCCATGGCAGCGGTGGAGGCTGTCTCAATATAGGGGATGATGTCATGTGCCAAAATTATCTGTATATTAAGCGTACGGCGGGTTAGTAATTTAAGCTTCATAGGCTGTATGTACATTAGATGAAACTGACTTTTTTTTTTTTTTTTTTACACTAGTCAGATTCTCATTTTATGCAGGTTGGCTTCTTATCAATCCCTTACTTTAATAGAGAGTTACCATTTCTAGTTCACTTTATAGCATGGTCTAGTCATTATTTTTCTTGCAATTAGAAAGGAAATGTGTAGTGGTAAAGCTACCCAAGTGGTTTTTTTTTTTTTTTCTGAAGAGATTTGAGGTTGTGGCCTGTAACTTGTACTTCTAATAATATCAAGAAGAAAGAAAATTGATTTCATTTCTGAGTTCTCCCTCTGTGGTTTCTAAATTAAGACATGATGGTTAATGGGATTAAGGTTATAGAATCTTGGCTGGGAACACTGAGGGAGCATTTACTCTGTTGAAAATATGAACTTATGTAACGAAAGAACCAGGTGTCCATCCCCTTCTGTCACAGAGAGTGTGTAGAAGACAGAGAAGGTAAGGAAAAAGAAAATAAAAATAAATGCATTGAAAATGTGTTCCAACACAAATTTAAATGCACCAATTTCTTAACTTCCATGACTGAGCCTCAGCTCCCTGAGACAGAGCCTGGAAGCCTCAGAGTCCCTTCCCAGGCTGTCCACAGCTGCCCAGTTGGCTCCATCCTGGCTTCCTCCCTGCCAGGCTCAACCAGTGAACCCATCCCTGTCTTTATGTTAGTGTGCGTTTGCATCCCTGGTGCATTTGTTCAGCTACACGCCTCCACGTGGAAATCCCCTACTGCCCATCTATTATTGATCCCATTATCATAATGCTTAGAGGGGCGTGCACAGTACCTGGAAGAACACTACAGAAATAATGCAAGTGAAACAAACAGGTTATGTGATCTCCCTCCCGGGAAAACAGCCGTAAGAAATGCAAGAACATTTCTTCCGCTTTGGATTAGGGCTGCCTTTTTACTTCAAGAGAAGTATCTGTTACTTTATGATTTTTTAAGGTGTAAGCTCTATTTTTCATGAACCAGCATAACTTGACCCTTTTGCCTACCTGGTGTAGGCAAGTTTACAAGGGAAACTCTGGGCGACAGTTGTGTAGCCTTAGTTTATTTTGTTCCCATTAACCCAGCACAATTTTACTATTAGATCAATCTAATCAGTGATTGGCTGAAGTTAAAACAAAACTTCAGAGAAATGGGGAAAGCTGAGTGAGCCTCAGAGAACCCTTGAAGGGTCAGTTAATGCCTCCAGTGTTTACTCAACTTGTCACTTAATTGATAATTGACTTGGTGTCTATTTAATTTCTAACAAGGGAGAATTATAGAGGAAGACGCTGAGTAACAGACTCCCTGAAACCAATCCTTCTCTCACCCGCCCCAAAATTAAAGGAAGGAGGCATCATCTTCTCCCGCCTCATATTATTATTAACTATTTTGAATTCATTTTACAGAAAATTTGCAGAACACAGAGAGTTGCTGTATATCCTAAACCTAGCTTCCCTCGTGTGAACATCTTACATAACCGTAGTGTAAACCTAGCTTCCCTCGTGTGAACATCTTACATAACCGTAGTGTAATTATTGGCACCAAGAAATCCATGAAACCACCGTGCCACTAACTCACTTTTAGACTCTGTTTGATTTCCTCTGGCTGTTGTACTGATGTCTTTTCTGGTCCAGGGCTCCAGCTGGGGACCCACAGAGCATTTGGCAACTGTGGCTGTTTCCATCTTTCTTTGT